TGGGATTGCCCTGACCCAGGTGTAGGAACTTACACTTACACTTGGCCTGCTTAAACTACATAAGGCTGGCATGGGCTCACCTCACAAGCATGTCAAGGTCCCTCTGGATGGCATCCCTTCCCTGGCATCAGCACATGTAGATTCCTGTAAATTATCTTCCTGTAATTTTTGAAATAGAAAAACTTACATAGTTAAGACATAGTTAATAATAGTCTTGATATATATAAGTTAAAAGAAGACTAGGTCTCCAGTTAGAGTTGAAGTAAAAACATTTGTCACAGGAACATGTTTTCATTCTATATGTGAGAACTGAAAAAGCTGATCTTTTTACTATGATCCCACTAGACAGCCTAATACTATGGCAGTTTCATAAAAAATAATTTCTTTTGTCCAATACTGGCTTTATTTTCTGTCTTTCTGAGTGAATGAAGTCAGACCGTATTCCTTGAGAGCTTTATCCCATTGGATCTTGAAAACCTCCAGGGATGGAGATTTCACAACATCTCTAAGCAACTCATTCCAATGTTTGTTTATTTTCAGAGTAAAAACTTTTTTCCCCTTTATTGCTTGTAATTGTCTTTAGCAGTTAATCACTATTGTTCCTCCTTTACCTGCTGTGCACATCTGTACAAACTGGCTTCATGTTATCTATAACATGCTCTTGTGTCCCCAGCTCCTGTCCAGGCTGAACAATTGGAGTTCTCTCAGCTATTCCCCACAGGGCAAGTATTCTTCTCCCTAACCAGCTTGGAGGGCCTCCCCTGGACTCACTGAAGTTCATTAACATCTTTCTTGTACTAGGGGGGAACAAAACTGAACACAGTATTGTAAATGGGATCTAATGAGTACACAGTAAAGGGGGATAATCACATCCCTCAGTCGGTGTCTTCGTTGATCCAGCCCAATATGCTGTTAGGCCTCTAATACTCAAATCATGTTTAGCCTACTGTTAACCATGACTCCTACATACTTTTCAGCAGATTGCTGCCCACTGGTTAGTCCATCCCAAATGCACGTGTCATGAGGTTCTTATACAGATGCTTTTATTTCTTTTTCTGCAGAACGAGAACTTGTGCTAGAAGTAGAAAGGATGAGATTAGAATATGGTATAGCTCTGGGAAATAAATCTCCATCTCGCCTAGATGCATTTATAAAGACTTTAGAAGAAGACAGAGATTATTACAAGCAAGAATTAGAATATCTTCAGAAAATGGTAAAACGAAGGCCTAGCCCAAGCCGTAGGACTTCAGAGAAGGTAAAGTATCTGCTGTCGAGACAAGCTAAATAATGGAAAATAATGGAAATACTGTAGAATCATTTAAGGAGCTATCAAATATATTTTCAAATTCAATAGCAGTAAATGACTGTAGCAGGTTTTTTAATTACTTTCTTAATATAAAAAATTAACTGAGAAAAACTCCAGTTAACTAGTGTTTTATTTTCCTTTGCACATTTTACAATAAAATGGTGATTATGGATCAGTTTGCTTGAAATAAATAGAACCCAATGATAACCAGAAAGAGATTGAAATCTTAGTAGCCATTTTGCTTTTTCTCCTTGATGGTTCTTATTCTTATTGTTCAAATTATACCACCATGCCAGGTTGGTTTTTTTTTTTTACAATTAGAATTTATTACGTATGTATTTTTCATGCATTACTAGTAGTGTGAATTCTTTCTTTTTTGATATTAATCATCAAAATATTTTAATTAGTATATTTTAACATAAATTTTATTAATCACTTTGCAGAGTGAAGATCTTAGATTCATCACCAGAGAAAGAGACGAGCTACGGTCCATGTTAGACAGATTTGAAAAACACATGATAGAAATTCAATCCAATGTCAAATTATTGACTACAGAAAGAGATAGATTAAATATTCTTTATGAGCAGGTAAGAAGAGATTATTTATAATTGTCATTGAAATAACTGATTAACACTTGTGTACAATTGCTTAAAATGAAAAAACTTTATAATAGAAATTGAGGAGTACAGACCTACTAGAATAAACCCAAAAATAATCAAATATATTCCTATTTTTATTACTTTATTCCAAAGTTAGTGTATTAACTTTAAAGCCATTGTAACACTGTACTGGCATTCAGAAATGAGAAAGACCAGGAAAAAAGTCCAGTGGAATGCATGAGAAAGTTTGGTAAGGATACAGGCTAGAAAGCAAACAAGAAGTAATTAACAGTTTAACTGATAAGAAAACGGTGAAGTTAGGCTATACTTGGAACAGTAAGAAGATGGTGAGTATGTTACCAGCATAAGTTGTCATGCTGCTGTGTGATATAAAGAATATATTTTTCGTTATCTAGAGAAAAATAAGACTACAATAGCACTTTTATTGTAATAATAGCATTGAAACTTTCTTTTTTGTTAGTGTATATGCTATATTAATTGCAATCCATGTATGCTAATAAACAATAATCTTTTAAAGTCTCAGGATGAATTGAACAGGATGAGAAAAGAAGCAAAACATAGTTCAGTTTCTCAAAGTCACGTGGAAGAAGAAAGAGACAGTGCACTGGCTGATTTCAGAAGAATAATGGCAGAAAAAGAAAGCCTCAGAGAAAAACTGAAGGTGAGCTTTTATAGCTTCATTGCTTACAGTGAGGTGGCGTATAGGGAAGGCTTATACAGCAATGCCGTGTTTGTGTCTGGCTGTCTGTCAGTTCCTCTTTTCAAGAACTTTTGAACTTACCTGATTTCAAACTCAGTTGAGAGAGCTTGATGAATTGTCTGAATTATCCTTTAACTTGGTTCTTAAGTGGTGGTAGGGGAAGAAGAACATGCCTAGTGTCCTAGGGCAAGCATGGCATCACCTTGTGTAAAGAACCTAGATAATGAAGTCTCAGCTACAGAGTATTTCTGTTTGTATGCATTAATTCAAAGATAGTGGTGGAAGAAGTCATGCGCTTCACTTGCGAGAGTCTTTTGTTGATATGACAGTTAACAAACCTCAGTGGTAAAAACAGCAGTGGTTTAACAAGATCTGATGGCAAGATACACTTGAGTATTTACTGTGGAGAAGACAGGATCAGACAGAACTGTCAGGGCGACCCTCCTATTGAGTCATGAGGTTCAGAAAGGAGCCCCTTGTGTTCTAAACTCCTTCTCAGAGGGGAGTTTGGGTGTGGCTGGATCCAGCCTTAGTCTCAGACTTGGTTAATGGTTTATGTCTAGAGGACTATATATGCACAGTCAATCCTTTATATCACTTAGCTAAGATTTAAAAGTTTCAGTGTTCTTATTCCCAATTCACTTACCAAATATCACATGATAAGAATTTTCTCAGTCTCAAAGAGTAACCCTTATAGGTGTCCCTGTTCAAGGGAGATTATGGCGTACAGCACACTGCTGTGCAAGAAAGCTCAAGGGGCTCTCAGCTGTCCACTATGGAGTAAGATGAAGTCACATTTGCATACTAGCTGTATTTCAGTTGACGATGCTCAACTAGCCCTCAGCTGTTGGGCAAGATTTGTAGCCTGTAGCTGTTTGTTTGTACATTAAGTTTAAATTTAAATATTTCTATCTCAGATTCAGCAAGAAGCAGCTAACCTTGAAAAATCAAAGATGCAGCATGATATTTCAGAACTGGAGAATAATATTCAAGGAGTAAGTACATATTTAGGAAGTAAGCTTTTATTACTTTTAAAATAGGATAGACTTTTCAAGCAATTATTTTTGTAGCTGTTTTCAACTTAAATTTATTCAGAAGACAAGTTGTGATTGCTTTCTACAACAGTAACATGTTTGGTTATTGTTTTTTAAATTGCAGTTTGAGATGGAAAGGTGTGAACTAAAGGCTACAATCTCTATCCTGAAAGAAAGAATAAACTCTTTGGAAAATGAATTAAAATTGAAGTCCAGTAAACTTGTCCAGACATATGATGATTCTTCTCAATTTAAAGCTGAGATTTGCTCACTTCAGTAAGTCTATTACAAAATGTGGTTGTCTTTCACGGACGCTGATGTAATTATGTTTGTTCTATGACCATATAGCAGAGTTGAGTTCCTGGGAAAGACCATAAAATACTTTCAAAATCATGTGGTACTGTTTTTGTCTTAAGGAAAAGTAAATACGAGTAAGGAAGGTGCTGGGGTGGCCTTTCACAGCAAGCTTCTCCCAGGCTTTTTTGAAAACCAGATATACTGTTAATTTTTATGGCTAATTGTGAATGAAAATTTTTTCCTCCCTCTAGAATTGTTTCCTCTAACAGGCATGTTCTCTGCTTAGGAATGTAGCAGAACAGGAAATTTCTAAAAGAATATCCAAATGCTCTTTGTTAAAAGGAAGAGAGAGGTCTTTGTGAACTGCAGCAGTGGGACCAAATTGTGTCATATTTACAGAGTTGTCAGCAATACCGAAAATTTTAAGCCAAGCATTAGGCATTAATATTCCACAGTTGAGTGGTTCATGAAGAGTTATTCTGTAATGGCATTTTACTTGTGTTTCTCATGGTCACTCCCTTTCATATGCCAATGCTGTCACACACATACTACAGTTTTGAGAGTTGACGTCTAGATACAGCCTGTGGGGATTTGATTAACTTGCTCAGAACTGGAGGATCAAGGATACCCATGTATTTTCAAGGCCTATTTAAACTTGCAGGGTCTTTTGGATGTTTTACAAGGAAATCCAGGGACTGTGGCTCACCCCCTCCACCCTCAACCTGAGCAGTACTATACTGCACTGTATAACAGTATAGTAGCAGTAGCTGAGAAGCAGGCCTTGGAGTTCATCTGATGCTCCCAACTGCCCTAAAGAAGGCTATTAGTAAAATCATTAGTGTATTTGTTGGTAAAATTGTGACAACATTCATAAAAGTGAAATACTTTATTAGGTTCCATATAATTTTAGTGGAAAGCATTGATATCATAAAAAGTAGGAGATAAGGAGTAGGGCTTCAGTAATTTCAGCATTTGGTTCTGCTTTGTGCACAGTGGCAATTTGCTATAACTGTGTTTGGCACCCCTGCTTCCCCACTCATCACCAAAGTTTCACTCTAAACTGAGTGAGAGCAATCTTTATCTGCAGACATGCTGTTTATCAGATGGGTGGGGTTTTAAAATAAATGAAGAGCATCTCTAGCTTTTGTGGGATTCCATTTCAGAGGGATTTTTATTTCCTGACCTCTTTTGTAAATAATCCATTTAATTACTTTGGAGTTGCATTTTTTTTGCATTTTTTTTTATAGGTCACTGATACTCTCTTCTGAGCAAAACAAGTATGTAGGTAGATGATTTCATATATCTTTCAGGCTCTGTATTTCTTCAAGTAGGATCAGAAGTACAGCTGTCAATTTGATTGCTTCTTAAAATGTGATGTGGCTGATAATCACTACTATGAGCTAGATATCAAAATCTTTATACAGCAAAGAGTCAAAAGACACAAGTAATAAGAGTTACCTGATGAAGAGTAACAGAATTCAGAGGAAATTGATGTTTCAGATTGTCATGGTTGTTCCACAAAGGTTCCATTGCTCCATTTTGGAGTGATGTTGAGGTGAACTTGCTGCAGGGGTCTAAGAGGTGTTGGTCTTGGCAACACTTAATAGTCCTTTCTTTTCCAGAGAAGGAGGGAGAGGACTGGTTAGTATGACACAACCCTGTGCTGCTAGTTGGTATGACTCAATCCTATCATGAGGTTACACTGGAGCTGTTCCAGCACTTCAAGCAGCAATAAAAGCCATAAATTGATGACCGTAAATAGGTCTGAAATGTCTTTCAACTGTATACTGATTTTCTAGGCTCTTAAATGACCAACTCCAGAGGTCTGTTGAAGATCTACAGCACCGATTGGCCCTCAAAAAGAATGAACTGCAGTCAGCTCAAGAAGAAATTGTGAAGCTAGAGGATAAAATAGGTAATCACTAGTTATTTTTATGCTTATTTCCTAATTTTAAAATAGGAAGTACTTATTCTTTTATTTATAGATAGGTTAAATCAGAGGAGCACTTCCCAGGATGAAGCAGTCAATGTACTTAGAAGTACTATTACTGTTTTGGACAAAGAAAAGGATAGTCTTCAAGAAACCGTAGACGAAAAAACAGAAAGAATCGCATGCTTAGATGACAACTTAGCTAACAAGGTATGTTCAGTAGAAGTACTACTTTGCAGTCCATCTGGGGATTTTTGAAACAGATGTTTTGCTCGGATGGCAAAGCCTGTGCAGAGCCTTAGGCATTGCATGAACGCCATGTTTGAACTGAGCCAATACACTCATTTGCCAACTCAATAGCGTTTTCATTATTATTGTTAGTGTATTCCCTAAACACTCCAAGAAAAAAAAGTAGTATGTTTTGCATTTTTGTACTTGGAGGTATTTGAGATACAAGGTTCTAGCTTAATGTGATAGAATCTATAGATGACTTCCATTTTTTAGATAAGACAACCCTTTCTCAGTAAAGCAGCTTGGGAACTTGAATGTGCAAAGATGCACTTATTATTGGTGAAGGGTTAAAATGGAGGTTTAAATGTCAAGTTCTTTAACTTGAAGTATCCTATTATGTTGCTGTATAATAATACTTAATACAATTTTGGCTTTTATTTTCACAGGAAAAAACAATTGCTCATTTACGTCTAACTCTCTCTGAACTGGAGTCCTCAAATGAGTAAGTAAAGACTAGGATGCCTTCTTCAGTCATTTTATTTTATTTAGTGCTTTTAAAATGAAAGTAGACAGCTATTTTAGTTATTTTGGTGAAAAGGAGCATACTGTGTTGACAAAGATGTACACAACTTTTGAAGATACTTCCTCTGCAATTATATTGCAGGCTGATAAGGTATTGTTAAGACAGCAATTAACAATTGCTTGTGTATATTTATTTTCCTAAATTGGTAACATTTCCTAATTCTCAGTTAAGAAATAGTTTTTTAGTGTTCTAGATACTGCACTAGATGTTAGATTGAGCCAGGTAAAATTCAGAGCTGAACTCCTAATTACTGGCAAGCTAATGCTTCCAACTTAAGTCACCAGTACAGTTTAAATTACAGTATATGTGCATAGATTTTAGCTGGGCTTCAACTGATCTTTCCTTATTGCCTCTTTTCACGCATGACTTTGAAAACTATAGCTTTTTAAAAGAAAACATTTAAACGCCTGAAGATCAGTGTAACTGAATATTTAATACATTTATGCATGAAGTATCTGCGGCAAAAAGAAAGAAAGAAAAACTTTACATAAATTCACACATTTTATTTCTACTATTTCATTTAATCTTTTGCTTACTCTTTTGGTTGTTGTATTTCAAGTGTAAGCTGTCTCTCTTCATCCTTTATGGTTTATAAAATATGCAACGGCTAATATACTACTATGTAATCACTACCAAACACGGATAAACATAAGTATCTGTGATTGCTGTTTGCATAATAAGATATGCCTTACTAGATGCATCTTCAAAGTTGAAGTTTAATTAAAGTTTATTTGTGCATATTGACATTTTACATCCTTAGATTATGTTTATGTTTAGACTTGTCAGCCTTCAGAGATCATGAATTCCCCCCCTTTTAAAAAAATAAAAAAGCTTTTGCATATCCAAAATCCACATCTGATCATTTTCAGCAGTATGTGGTATAGTATAAGAAGGGACAACTTAACTAAGATTTTTCACTTGATAGCCAGATGAAGGACGTGCTGAGCAGCAGAGACCGTGAGATATCTAGCTTACATCGCCAGCTTGATACGTCCCATGTAGAGCTTGCAGAGATAGGAAGAGTAAAGGAAATGGCTCTGAAAGAAAACAGGCGACTGCAAGATGACCTAGCTACAATGGCCAGAGAAAACCAGGTATGAAAGCAGTACGTAATGCTGAAGTATTAGACTATTTAATGCTTGCTTATATATAGTGGTACATCAGAACCACTGTGTCCTCAACCTTGATTTGGTATGCTTAATTAGTGGTATTTCTTGAACACTGGGATATTAAAAATCACTGGGCGGGACTTGTAAAAGCGATTACTTTAGATACTTCAGCTTAGTCAGTACAGTAGGGGAGAAATAGACAAGCTTTCAGTTTAGTCACCCTTCCCCAGATTAAAAAAGAAATCTAACTAAAGTAATTCTAGGACATAATTGTTTATACTGTAATGAAATTATGTTTATGCTATAATGAAATTGGTTATATCACTTAGTAGTTGGTATTTAATTGGGAAAAACTGGGTTTTATTATCTGTGGAACAGGGATTATTGAGAAAGAGCAAGAACCACAAAAGCAGATACCAGGTTATTAGTCAGGTTAAAGTGAGAGGGAGAAGATTGCTAGAACACCTGAATTCCTTCTTGGGCATAGTGATACATTAGTTTCATCCATCTAGTTTCCATGAAGTACTGGATGTACTGAGTGAGGTATGCCACATTTTGAAATTGGAATGTTTGTGTTCTGTGAGCCTTGGTAATGGTGGCTGTGAAGAGGTATTGGTGGGTTTTTAATTTCCAGTTCTGGCAAGGTTTGTTGCCATTCATTTGTGTTGCTCTGCAGGAACTTTGCTTTAATATAAGATAAATATAAGAGGGCTAAAAAGATACAAGGCAGAGGGACTGAAGAAAACTTATTTTTAAGATATGATAGTCCTGAATAGTCTGAATTTCTTTCCTGATTTCAGGAATGGATAAGGATGCACAGTCGATGAGAATAGGAGGGGTTCCCTTTCCATTGTGTCAAGGTTGTGTGGGGGTTTTAGATGGTGAATTCAAAGGTGCCATCTATTTCCCTGGAGAAATGTTCTTATTGGATTGTCTTTGCATTGGTCAGGTAGGTGTCATGGTGAGGTGGCATCTTATAGAGTTTAGCTGTATATTGCAGCTTTTTGTGTGTGTTGCGGAGATTCTGTTCAGCTACTTTATTTGACTGCTTGCAGATTTTTGTTATATTTTTTTTTTTTTGCATTAGTTTTATATAATTTCATCTTTCCTTGGAGTCATAATGTACTTCCTTGCTAACAGCTAGCCAGTCAGTAGCTTTAGGCCAAAGGGCAAGTGGGAAGTGGCTCGTCACTGCCCAGTGGACTCTGAGTTGGATCAATTGTATGTCAGCTTTCCAGCTGGGAGGTGTACTATTCTTCTTAGCTGCTGATGGCTAAATACATTTCCTTGTGAAGTGCATGCTATAAAGGCATGACTTAAACTTACATCGCTTACAGAATCAAAGTTGAAATAAAATCTTTAATGCCTTGAGGAATTACATGTTTCCATAGGGTATTATTGAATATTTTGTTGAAAGGCGAGCTATCTCAAGTTGACATTGTAGTTTAAACAACAAATTTGCAAGACAGAAAGAGTTGAGAGATTCAGTGAATTAAACTGTTTGACTATCACCATTATTCTTCTTGTGGGATCTTCATCCTGAGATGTTCTCCAGAGGTCCGCAAGTTAACCAACTACCGATATGTAAAAGCACACTCGTTGAAGTGCTTAAGGGGCTTATATAGCCCATTTGCACTGTTCCAAATCATCATTGCCCCATCTCTTCTTCCTTGGAATTCTCCAAGTCTGGGATCCATGTCTTGGAGAGCCTGAAGTGCATTCAGTCTTGTTAATCTTTCACATAGTTTGAGGAATAATGAGTTGGTTTAGTGCACCAACTGGATACTGCTGACCAGAAGCTTCCCAGCTGCAAGTGCATGACATGGATGTCCTTGTACAATAGAATGTGTGTATGGACAATATATAACATATGTGTCCAGTGTTTTATAGGGTAAGTAGCATTTTTTTATTGGCCTAAACATTAGAAAGAACATAGAGAATATGTAAGTGTGATTTAAAGAGCTAGCTCAGAATTTTGTTGCAATTTATTATAGTCAGTTTGTATAGCAAATACAAATGTTGCAGCTCATCAGAAGACTCAAAATGCCTTGTATGGTTTTGATGCTGAGATACAAATACATGTTTGAATTCACTGTAAATGCTAACAGTAAAAATAATGAAAACCTTCTTAGCTAAACCATTTATTTCAATTCCCTTCAGTCAACCTGGCTGAGTCTGTACTAGAAAGTACAATATAACAAGATGTTTTAACTGAGGTAGTACCCTGAATAGTTCTTGCAAAACATACTGTGGAATACATAAATATGTGGGTGTATTATTGAAGTTAGAAATGCCATTAATAGGTATCTATTAAGATGAGATTAAATATGGCTTTAGGCTGAAAGAGTGTAGATTTAGATTGGATATTAGGAAAACATTCTTCACTGTGGGGATGGTGAGGCACTGGAACATGTTGCCCAGAGAAGCTGTGGCTGCCCCATCCTGGCAGTGTTCAAGGCCAGGTTGGACACGGGGGCTTTGAGCAACCTGCTCTAGTGGAAGATGTCCCTGCCCATGGCAGGGGGTTGGAACTGGGTGATCTTTAAGGTCTCTTCCAACCCAAACCATTCTGTGATTCTGTGATATTACCATAATATGATTACTAAACCTTTTCTAGTGTGCTTGGGAAGGATACAACAGAGACAAGCAGACTGATTTCAGCATATGCTAAATAAGGCACACAGTAAAAAGGCTGCCCTTACTGGATATTAATATACTACAAAAAGAAGAAGAGAAAGAAATAAGGAAATATCCTCTATTTCCACCCACATTTTATAGTGGGAATAAAAGAAGATACTTTCCTCTTTGGTTCTCTGGGCTAAAGGACTCAGGGAAAGGTGAGAGCTGAACCCGAGAGGGCCAGAGTTAGCAGTTCCAACATCTCAAACTTATTTCATGGTGCATTTTTGATGTCTATGATCTCAATAATCCATTTAGTTATTTTATCTTTCAATTCTACTTTAAAATAAATGTTCTTTTTGTCATAAAGTTGACTTTCTAGTGACACAAAACTTCCCTTCACTCAGGGATCATGAAGTTTAAGGCTAGAAAAATCCCAGCTCCCAAACTTCTGTATGTTGAATTTTCCAAAGACCAGTAGGATATGTCATCAGGGAAGCAGCAGATTTTATGAACTTGTGTGACATTCATTGTTTTCTGTGACTATTCTTGCCTGGAAAACAATTTGGTGTATCTAAGGTAATAGGGGATATTTCTGAACCCTACAAATCCCAAAGGCCTTTGACTAAATTACTTAGAAGTAGAATCAGTAAAATCTGGGTATATGCAATTACTTTGATTTAGCATGATACAGTAATATATAGTGATTAATTCACTCTAATGCACTATTTTTCCTTTATGTAATCTCTTTAGGCTATCAGTACTGAGCTTGAAGATGCAGTACGTGAAAAAGAAGAAATGAAAACCAGGGTTCATAATTATATAACTGAAGTTTCTAGATTTGAGACCTTGATGGCTTCAAAGGTATAATCTGTAGGCAGTTTTTGCTGTTTTCCAAAATCCATTTGATTTAGAGTATTTATCAGGAAACAAATCAAGAAATGTATAGTTTGGGTCCTGTTCTCCCTGCCTATCCCATTCCTTTATTTTTAACCTTTTTTCCTCTGTAGTGTTTCAAGCTACTAGTGGATTCATATAAAACCTTATTAGATCTGAAACACTGATAAATTCTGGCACATCACAATTTCATTGGCTATGTTTCAGTTGGCCATAACACTGGAGAATAACAAACAAATCATGTTTGAATGTTGTTTTGCTTTTTGAGAAGGCAACTAGTAAAATAGCTGTTACTATTTCATGATTATAGGCAACAAGCGGATTATATGGGTTTTTTTAATATTTTACACTTTTAGAAAAAGAGAAATTTTGTATTTAGCTCTGCAGGAAAGTGTAAAAAGAGCACATTGGAATGTTTTCTCTGAGTGAAAGATTTTTTGTTGTACTGACAAAACAGTACTCTTGTTAAATGTATTTTATCCTGATACTTGGATTCAAAAGTGTGTGAATTAAAACTTATAATCATTTAAAACAAATTGAATTTATGTCAAGACAACATGAACTGCCAAATCTATTATGTGCTCTTGAACAGGAAAGAATGAGTTTTGATACAACTTTGGTTTGCATATCTAGATGAATGCATGCAAATTCATTCCTCTTTTTCCACGTAGAAACTGAAGTATAGAGAAAAAATGAAGGTCAGTAGTATGTTAGCCTAGAAGTCTCAATTTAAAACACTTGAAGTTTAGTTTTTAAGAATTTTATAATATGTCATATGTTGAAAGCACTTCAGCTACAGATGTGGCCACGTCTTTGACAGATGAGAATCCAGTTATTTAAGTCAGGTACTAAGAAGCTGTAGAATATACAGCCAGTGGCCAATTATGAAAGGTTGTTTTCAGGGATTTGTCTAGTATTACATCCAAATGTTGCCTGTGGAGATAGGGATTTACTTTTCTGCACAGTGTTCTCTTGCTTAATCATGTGTTTCTGTTTCCTAATGCACTGCCTCATTCATCTGCACCTTCCAAGTTATGCAGGAAACATGGAAGGAATTTCAAAATGAGTAGCCTTCCTCATTAGATAAATCTGCCTCATACCAGAAGCATGCTTATCCTGTTGTGCCTTACATGAACAGGGGGGAGAAGGGAATGGAGCTAAATGAAGAAGGAAAACTTATCACTGCCCTATAATATGCACTTGAATTTGGGCCAAATGAAAATTCAGAAGCAACATTTGTTTGATCACTGCATAACTTATAAGCACTAATGCTTGCAGTTTTGTACTTTTATGATAGACTGCTTGAGTGTGTGTGCTCAAATAGGTTATCAGTCTTTCAGGCACTACTGTAGTATAGATATTTGTAAGAGCACATGCAGTAAGTAAAAAAGCTGAAAATGGACTCCCGCTGGAATTTATTGGAAAGGGCAGCACTAAGATTAGTACATCTCAGTAATGTGACCCTTGACAATGCTGAGAGATCCAAAATAACTCCTCCCCTGAGAGCTTTGAAACTCATTAACAACCACTAAATGTAAATACTTCCATTTAAGAAAATTGAATGCTATCACTGTATTTATTTACTATTTGGACTTGCAAAAGGGATGATGCCCTTTGGTAGCTGCCAGATAGTGGGATTAAAAAAATGGAGAAAAATCTACTTTCTTCCGAGGGAAAAAAAAAAAAGCTATTGTAGGGAGTAGGCATTAAACAAGATCAAGCAATTTGAAGGTATGTTGGTCATTGCAGAGCAATTTACTGTTTCATCTAGGAAAAAGAAAATGAAGAATTGTTAGAGAAGTTCCGAATGGTCCATGCACAAGCAGAAGACTGGGAAATGAAGGCTCATCAAGCTGAAGGAGAAAGCACCTCTATACGACTTGAACTCCTGTCTGTAGATACAGATCGGAGACATCTCCAAGAGAAAGTAGAGCTTCTGGAAAAAGAGATTCAAGGGGTAATAATTTGTGTAGTGAAATTCTGTCAAGGAAAGTGGGATAAATTCAAGTATTTTTTAATAAAGTCAACATACTATTTGTAATGCTTTAGTGGAAAATAATTCTTATAGGTGAATGTTTCATATGTGGACACTGAGGTTTTGAAACAGTGACTGATTTTTTGAAACAGTTAGTTTCAAAACTGATTTTGGTTAGATATTCTTTCCTTTTCTGTTCCCTGGTTTCCCAAAATCAGAATCACGTCTATTTAAATACTTTTAGATCTCTTTTGCTGGGTGATTGATGCTATTATATTACTATCTCTGTAAGAACCTTTTGTTTAGTTGCTTAAAAATATCAGTATTTTGTCAGCTAGGATTATGAGTATTTTGTAAGCTTAGTTCTTAGATTACTTTGAAGTGTTGAATGAAGTATTTGAAGCATTGGTGGCTGGAGTAAAGGTAAAAATCTGGTCATAGTAGTCCACATCCAGAATCAGGATGACTTAATATGGAAACCTAGACCAATAGCATAGAAAATAATGATATTTAAGTTTTAGAAGCAGTAACTTTATAGAGATCAAGGTAGGGTATAATAATTGTGGATTGACCATATTTTGTCTCATGCTTTTAATTAGCCCCCAAAACCTAGAAACTTTAATAAGGTAAGCTGAGTGAAAATTTGATTATATTTTGAGGGGTTTAAGCTTTTAATTCTCTTCTGAAGCTGGAATCCAGCCTCATTCCACTCATATATAGTACTTGTATAATTCTTCAAGATGGTGATTAAGAATCGTAGAAATGCTTATATTAGTTGTTCTTAGCTGCGATTTAGGGAGATGAGAGGAAAGGAATATAATATAAAGTTAATTCTATAGGGAAAGCTGATTTTGAAGGGAAAATATGTTAAAAAAACCCCTGTTATCCAGGAGAGAACTCTTTACTCAACATTTAAGACTGAAAGGGTATCTGTATTTGTCTTTGTTTAGCATATCTTTGCACATCAAGCATATGAATCTCAGATCTCCTCCATTACAAAAAAAATGTCCAAATTGGAAGAGGATGTTAAACGTGAAAATCAAGATAAGTCTTCTGTGTTGGCAGACCTGGCTTCTGTGAGGGAACTCTGTGTGAAACTTGAGGCTAACAAAGAACTCTTATCTCGACAGCTGACATCCAAAAGCATGGATTATGAAAAGGTAAGCAGCAAAGGCAAATTTAATTTACTATGATAAAATATTTTCCTTTTCCTTTAATGGTTTTTGGAGAAAATAATAAATTGCTTCTGAGAGAAAGGCAAGTTAATTTACATCACTAGTTTTGCATTTATATCTAAAGCAAAAATTTTGCAGTATACAGATCTGAAACTGTGGGGTTTGTATGAAAAGAGTTTCTTTAATTCATTATCACTGCAAAATGTGGCAGCAAAACCTGCCATACCACAAACACAAATTATATTTATTTGGTCTTATGTACTGTTTTTTAATTTACTAGAATTTTCAATAAGAAGTATTGCACTTCTTACTTAGATATTAAAGACTTTTCCTGAATGGATTTTTTCAATTAGATTGAAATATAGATTGAGCTGAAATTTATAGAATATTTTGAAATAGTTTGAACAGTTCTAAATATCCATAATTTCTGAACTTTTTTCTTTACAGCTGATTATTGTGTCTTTACTTAGTGACTTGGTCAGGTTTCTTGTTACTGTAATATTCAAGATGTTGAGAACAGTAGTTCTCATCCCTGCAGAATTTGTTTATATTCATAGATCTGGTGAGGAAAACGAGCATTCCCACATTTTCAGCAAAGGCCAAGAAGCTAATTGTGAGCTAACCTAGTCAAATAGAATGAAGTATAGTAAATACTGGTTTGTATTTGTGCAAAAGCCTTCTGCTGTTAAAAGCCAATTAGTATTCTGGGTAGTTAGGTAAGCATTCCCAGGACTCAGTAATCCAGCTCCCTGTAAAACATTTAACAGATGCAAAGCTTGAATAGTTTTAAACTAAATATAGTTTTAAATAGTTGTAGGCTTTAATTTGTTTTACGAGCTCAGTTTACTATTAATTGTTATGAAGCTTACAAATATTTCAGGTGTTGTATCAACTCTTCATGAAAGAGAACTCTGTGTGTTGTAATCCAGTGTATTAGTGATGTATAAAATTTGTGCCCTAGGTTCTAGGTGAATTAGAAGATATAAAATCAGAAGTAGAGTTGCTGAAAAAGCAGTTATCCAGTGAGCGACTTACAGTTCAGAATCTTGAAGCATTGCTGGCTACTAGTAGGGACAAAGAATTTAAGAACCATTTATCATCCCATGAGAAAGATTCCGAAATTCAATTACTGAAAGACAAGCTAACACTCGCCGAGAGCAAACTGTAAGTTTTAACAAGAGTACGTTTGTGTCATATGGTTTACAAAGAAACTTTTTCTGTCTGGCAACACTTACTCACAAAGTCAAATTCTTGATATTCAGTGAGGCTGAGCAGATTTTTGCAGCAATGTCATCTGGCCTTTACTGGCATCTTTTACTTAAAGTTTCTTTACAGATCTTTCGTACTGCCTTCGTTAATGAGCACTCTGGTGGACATCAGTTTAGTACAATCATTTAACAGGAGTTCCAAAGGAAACCTACTCTAAAAGGAAGAAACACCCTGCTGAATTTTCACAGTTATGGGAATAAGCACTTGGTTTCTTTCTGGATTTGTCCCCAGTCTGACTCCAGAAAGTTTGCTTCACTTTCTCTGCTGGTCGTAACTCCTTCTTACATCAGTCAGGCACAGGAGGTGATACTTTTCCTCGAGTTCACATGTCTGATGTAACTCTGCTGTACTTTCAAGTGCAGTCACTAAAATCCTTTCCTTCTGAGCCTCTTAGTGGACGTAACTACCTAATGGTGGGGTAGCTGATCTGTTGCAGATGTTATTTCCACCACAGAGCCAGCCAACCCATGATAGTTTGTAATTTTTTTTAGCTTATGAATACATTTATAAATGTGTGCATGCATTACAGTATGATTTGGGTATTTAAGCTTTGCATCGGAGGGTATCAGTTCTCAGTGTATAAATATTTATTCCACCTCTCTCACAGGTTGATTTTCTTCTTAGCTTCAGGAAGCTATCTAATTCAACTCTGCTTTTTAAGGAAAATGCTATATTTTTATTTGACTTTGAAGAGTTTAACTATTAAGGGAACACAAAGTTTCTTAGTCTTAAGCTGCGATTTATGTTCTTTTATTGGAGACTATTCTGAAGTCCTAATTCCTTTAGAACAATGCAGATTCATCAAACACCTCAAAGCAAGTTGAAGTAAAATTTTAATGTGTGTACTGCTCACAGAAAAAGCCATTAAAAAGTACATTAAATCCATGGTAAATGTAATTGCTTACCTACTGTAGATGCCTGTTGTCCTTACTTCGATTAAAGGAAGAATAATTTACATAATATATAGTGAAGTCACAGTCCTTTAAAAAAGCAAAAGTACTTTTGCTGCTATTGATATTAACTGTTACGGAAAAAGGCCTGTATCATTTATTGTTCCTTTGAAATATAAACAGAACTGAACCTGACACCTACACTAAATGTGGTCAGTGCTTTCCATGAGAGCTAACTGCAGCTTCTCATGCTGGACATCTGCCTAGAGTAGGAATGATTTTTAACACTCTCCTAGAAGAAAGACTAATCTGTTTGGAACAATGAAATTAAGGGGGGGGATATTTGTGTATATGAAATTCATGTACATTTTTGAACTATTTACTTCATGATCTAAATTTTGTTTATATGTCATTGACATGGAATAACCTCAGAACTCACAAAACTCTTTGCTTTCTTTCTTTATTTTACAATAATGATATTGGGCCCTGAATTCTTACCTTCATCCTGAAAGCATATGCCTGTCTCTGAAGGACTTAGAATAAGATATCATCGAGACCTCTTGTCTACTGCATCTGTTCTCAACATACTGGATCAAGATACCATTCTAGGAATTTTACTGATGAATAGGGAACACAGGAAAACACATTCTGTGGTTCTTTTTGGATCAAATCCCTTGACTAGTTTGCATCTTCCTGGAGTCAAGAGACCAGCGGGTGCCAGACAGGAAGCCTGTGACTGAGCTAGGAGTGGAACTCTTATTTTCAGAATTCAAGTCCAATGCTATAGCAATAAACTAGTACATCTTTCCTTCTCCAGAAGTGACTTTGAGCACTCAACCTTATGTTGGCTTTGAAGACTCTATGGAATAACAAAACTGTCTCGATTCTGGTTTAGACAATTATTTTACATTCAATGATTTTTTTTCTTGCTTTATAATGCAATTAATGTTGTTTTGCAACCAAGCATTGAGTTGTCCAAGCTGAAGATTTGTTAAGAAATCTATTTAATTATGTTACTTAAGATTTTTAAGGCTATTTTCAAGGCTGATTCTTGCAGTTGAAACAGTTGGGCAGGTACCATGGGTGTAGTTGACAACCTTTCTCACTCTAGGTTTTGCTGGTCTGAGCTTGCCTTAAAGGAGTTTAGATTTGATTCAGTTGTGTTCGTTGCTAGCCAGATAGTTCCAGCCTACTTGATACAATTTTTACTGAAGCCATATCTGCTGTGTTTGCATTTTTTTTTCTTCCAATTTTTTAAATGTACACATAAAGACCATCTCACATTGCAAAGGAGGATAGTAAATCAATAAATTAATGATTTTATTCTTTTGTCTGGTTTTATAGAATATGTTTGTGTTTACTTTTGCCTGAAAAAGAACATGATGTATTGTATTAAGGGTGTAGTGACCAATTTGCCAGCTTCTCACTTCTCACTGTAGGTTCTTCCAGAAACATTGTTGCCTTCACTTGGTTCTCCCTCCTTCTGATTTGTTTTTTGTTTGGTCTGTGTGAAACATGTGGAGTCTATTTTTGTTTGATCTTGCTTTAATTCCTCTAAGCTTCTAGCCAACTGTGTTCAAAGAAACCTTTGTTGCTTCTCATGATCTTTTTTTAGAAGCAGCTCTAACAGAGAGGTTCCCGTACTTCGAAGTAAAGTTGCACAGCTGCAGACTGACTGCGATACTTTAAAAAGGCAACTGACAACTGAACGATTTGAACGGTAAGATGCTGTTTTTTCAGTGAGGTGACTTACGTCTTTCTCAGTTTAAAAACTGGGGTTTTTTCAACGGTGAGAACTTTTACAGAAAATTGTGTTCCTATTGTCATACAAAATCTAATATTCTCATCTCAAAGATTGCTTAATGAAAAAAGAAAAAAGCCTTGCAGAGTTGCTGAATTCTCTCATCAATTTTATGAGTTTACTATTGCATCCACAAACAAGAACAAAAAATCCCTTCTCATGAAAACAAGAAGAACGTTGAGTGACATAATGAGAAAACAAGGCTCTTTGCAAAGTACTGTGAAAATCACCAAGTAAAAATATGGGGGGAAAGTTATGTTTCCCTCCTTTAACATCCTGCAGTACCGAAGTATAATGTAACTGAAATTGCTATCTGTTGGTAGAGAGCGTGCAGTTCAGGAAATGCGTCGCCATGGGCTCTCTACATCATCCTTACGTGCTTCACCTCCTCTCAGTTCAACATTAAGGTCTCCCTCACATTCTCCAGAACGTACCAGTATAAGGACAACTGAGAAAGCAGCAGCTGAAAAGTAAGCGATTTGATTTCACCAGATTGTTTCAGTTTAAGAGTTAGGTTTGAACTGTTTCTAAATAGTACTTTTAAGGTTATATTAATTCTTACACACTAAGCTGTTTGGTTGACTGTCCTACTACAAAATATTGATTGGAAACAATAGATGCAAAGTGCTCTCCAAAGACCATATAATGTAATGGATTGACATTTCTGTTAATGCTCTTGCACCCCAGCTGACAGCTTACAAATATATATGCCCTGCTTATTATTAACATTAATTATATCCAAATATTTATTGCCTATTATTTTTATTATTATTATTAATATTTATCTCCAAACAATGAATTGTTCATATTAAGAGAAATACCAAGAAATTCTTTCAAGTACAGCAATAAAGATGCTCTGTAGGAGGGAGTCCAATTAAAATGCATTGAACTCTACACATCAGACTAAACTGTCTCCCAAACAAGTATATAAAAATAATTAATGCATTTTTCATGTTAGTGCTTGAATGCTATGAATGGCTAAGATCATGGTCACTAGAGTCCATAAAAAAGAAATCAAAATCAACCTCTCACCTGTTCATTTTCACTGACATTTTTGTTCTCTAGAGATCATTGTTGGTTTAGATGATGTCAGTTATGTGCTACAGGCCTGATTATTGACATCATAATCTTGTTTGTCGTATACTGCATAAGAAATTGCAGCAAAGAGTGGACAGGGAGAGATAAACAGTGATTGTTTTAGGAAATATGTGTTCTATAACAGCTATATAGTGTACTATAAGGTTAGATATAAGGAAGTAGTTCTTTACTCAGAGGGTGGTGAGGCACTGGAACAGGTTGCCCAAAGAAGTGGTAAATGCTCCATCCCTGGCAGTGTTCAAGGCCAAGCTGGGCAGATCCTTCGGCAACGTGGTCTAGGGTGAGGTGTCCCTGCCCATGGGAGGGGAGGTTGGAACTAGATGATCTTAAGGTCCTTTCTACTCCTAACTATTCTATGATTCTATAACAGATCATGAATCTAACTATCTAACTGCTAAAATGTAAGAAACAGAATTCCAAACTGATAAGACTTTAAACATTATTTTTGTTGGTAAATACATACGGTTTGTTCTCAAGCTTACTTACCAAAAACACATGCTTCCTGAGAACTGAGGTCAGCATGGCACGATCCACATTGTAAGCAATTTTCCTCTGTGAGTTTCTGGACAAAGCTAAGAAGAGAACTGTAGCAAATGAGATATTGATAGTGGGAATGAAACAGCAGGGGTTTTCTTTTTTGCTGTGCTGGTGAGCCATTAGGCAAACCCTATTACATTGCAAATCACCATTTTGACTGAGGTAATGATAGCTAATATATTTCTGAGAATGAGCATCATCAGGAGAGAATTGTCTTAAGTCTTCCTTGCTTTGCAGTGAGTCCCAAGAGCCATAAAAATAGTCCAGTTGCTGTACTTGAAGAATAATACCATTTAGAGAACTATTTTTATCCTATTTGCACACTTAGTTTTAAGAATGACAGTTCTGTACTGTATCTTGTCAGAAAATAACCCATTTTCATGAAGTATGTATTTTTAAAGTTGTTTTTAACAGCTGAATTCATATGCAGTTCGATTTTTTTACTATTTTGCCTTTTAAACCTATCCATGGATTATTACATTAGAATGATCTCAGTAGTACTATCACTGTCTTGCACCCTGCTTACTTTTCCTGTGAGCTTACCACAGTAAGGTGTACTCTGTAGTTACTGTTCTGTAGCATTACAACTGTTTGTCTCTTATCTAATTTAATTTTCTCAAGAAATCTTCTTTTCCTCCTTGTCTCCCATGTACTGTTAAGAATTTGAGCAATGAGTCAATGAACTGAATGCAGGGTTTTAGATAATATGCTAATAGTTGATATTTCTGGATATCGGAAGGGATCATGAGGAGGCTAAATCTAATTAATGTGATAGCTACATTTTGAAATTTTTTCTTTCTCTGCCAGAAATGTGAGCTTCAAGGATTAAGCACTTCTTGAGCAACTGAAGCACTACCTTGTCACTGGGGCTTTGGTTTTTTTTTTTGTTTAAATGATGAAGGCTGACTCATATTCTACCTCTGTTTTCTTCAAATCAGTAATTACCTTTGAAATTTCTGAGAAACCAGTGAAGTAATCAACTTTGCAAAGTTCTGCTTTCCCAACTGGCTGGACTGACTGCTTTTTGCTGGTTGGTTGACAGGTTTTGTATCAAGGCTGGCTAAGTTGTGTTACTCTTTTGCAAACATAGTAATTCTAAGAAGGAAATGGGTGCTTGATATGACAATCTCTTGTTTCCACTTTCCTATTTTATTTCTGTTGGCTTATCTCACACGGTTACAGGAGTTTTTCATCTTAGTGTGAGCTAACATTGAATAACATACAAGATTGTGCTAAAAATGCTGAGCCAGTGTATGTTTTGTACTCATGATGATTTCCTATGTTTGGGCTTTTAACAAGTGTTTTCTGTTGACAGGTCATTTTTCATGGTATTTAAAAGTATTGGTGATCTATTTTGTGAATGTATTTTGTTTACTGTACCTTTTCTTAATAAAAATGTATTAGTTATTCTTTATTAATTTTTTTTTCATCTAATAACTAGTTATCTCTTTGTTTAATCTTTGTGTGAAATTGCATTTTAAACATTACCCCGATTGTCTTGGTTTCAGCAGACTTAATTTTCTTCCTTGAAGGGATACTTTTCCTTCATGCTTGACAGGAGTCGCCTCGAGAGGCCAAGGACACAACACCAATATTAAATAAAAAATGAAGAGAAAAATGTTATTTTTTTAATTTTATCTGGAGATATTTTTCAAATTTTGGTTGTAAAAGATCAGAGCAAAACCTGGAACACTATACACAGTTAAATTCAAGCTGTTGGAGAGGTGTCACAGGCCTTTGTGTTACAACACGCATATTAGGTAAATTCATTTTAAAGCTACCTTTAAAATATGTGGCGTATTTAGCAAGGGAGCATTTCAGATTTAGGCTATCATGTAAAATGCAATTAGCAGTCACAAGCTTATGATGCAGATAATTGTGTATCACATCATTCTATTCAGGAACATACAGTTTTCTAATAATTACACACCATTCAGGTTGACATGGCATGTTGTGTTCATAGGTATCGTGCAGAGGATGAAAAGTGGGAGCATGTCTCGTTGTACATCCTTGCACTGGCCAACGGCTGGCTAATGTTGAATGAAAAGCTGTGATTACCAGCTAACATTACAAGCATCTCTAAAGTGTGAACAACATATTAAGCGACAAGGGGGAATAAAAATATA